GACATTTAGTTTGAGACATGCAGGACACCCAAGGAACCTTTTTCTTCACGGTACGTTTTAGTGGCATGTCCACTAATATCAAACTGAGTTACCGACAGTTCCATGCACTTCGTTCGTGTCAAAATAGGCTTTGACTTGGCCATACCCGACAAATTATGGCAAAAATATCTCTTTATTTTTTTTTTTTTAAATAAAATTTATACAAAAAGCTTTTTTTATTTTTAGTTTAGAGAAGGATTCAAACCCAAATTCTATTGTTGTAGGCTTGTATGTTCATTTGCAATGAAGAAATATCCCGATCGCCGAAAGCTTCCTTAGATACTAAGCAAGGCTGCATCTGTCAATTTAAAGTGTAACTAGAAATAGATTTATGTGTTACACATGAAGACAATAATACATGTTGTAATAATTGTGTTTATTAGTTAAAAGACTTATCTAGTTTTTATATTTTTTAATTTTATTCAATTTAATTCTTATACTCAAAATTAAAGTAATTTAGTTTCTTGATTTTGAATATTGCTTCAATTTAGTCTTTCTCTTTTAAGACATTTAATTTTTTCATTAAAAGAGATGACATTAATGCTGGCGCATCACATTTTGATGACGTGATGTTGAGATGATGATGCGGCATGTCACATGATATCGACATGATAACATGACAATGTTACATGTTATTAATATAATGACATGGCATTAACATGCTAACATGTCAGTGCCATGTGATAGATAAAAAAAATTTTAAAAATTTTTTTTACCTCATTGTAAGGATTAAATTTAATAGAAATATATAGTACATGGATCAAATTGAGCAAAATTGAGATGTTGATAGACTAAATTAAAAAAAATATTTAAAAAATATAAATCTTTAAGTATATCATTGAGATACTTATTAGTACACCAAATATTTAAATGTAAAAGATTTATGATATTAAAAAATATATATAAATATTCTCTTACTCGATTATTTGATTTTAGAATATGTACATTAATTTATTTTTTTACAAAAATTAAGATTGAATTCTCCTTCTATAAAAAAAATTCGAAAAAATTTTATACCTAAAGTCAAATTTAGATGAATAACTTGCATTATATTAAAACAAAATAATATAAAAAGACTAAGTAATTTTATTCTTTTATTTATAATAGTATAAAATTTAAAATTTATTTAACTTAGTTTTTAACTTGAGTTAAACTCAAATTAATAAAATAGGTTGATTTGTTTTTTTCTTTTAAAAATAATTCCTTATTTTGACTCCAACTTAAGTAAGTCAGAATGAAGAATTGTTTTTAAAAGAAAAAACTAAATCAATCTATTTTTTAATTTGAGTTCAACTCAAATTAAAAACTAAATTAAATAAATTTCATATTTTTATACTATTATAAATGAAAGGAAAAAAAAAGAATATGATTTAGTTTTTTTGTATTATTTTATTTTAACATAATGCAAGTTATTCATCTAAATTTAACCTTACGTATAAAATTTTTTCAAATTTTTTTTATAGAATGAGAATTCAAACTTAATTTTTGTAAAAAAGATAAATTAATATACATATTTAAAATCAAATAATCAAAGTAAGAAATTATATATATTTTTAACACTAAATCTTTACACTTAAATATTTGACTTATTAATAAGTATATCAATAATCTACTTAAATATTTATATTTTTAAATTTTTTTTTTAATTTAGTCCCTTGACATCTTAATTTTGTTCAATGTAATCTCTGTACTATATATTTTTATTCAATTTAATTCTTATGACGTGGTAAAAATTTATTTTGTAAAATTTTTTAATCTGTCATATGGCATTGACATGTCAACAGCATTGCCACATCATCATTTTCGTGCCATATCGGATTGTCACATCATCATGTTCATGCCACGTGGTATGCCATGTCATCATCTCAATGCCACGTCATCAAAATGTACCATGTCAGCACTAACCTCATCCTTTTGAATGGTAAAATTGAATGTTGTTAGGTGAAGGAACTAAATTGAAGTAATTCTCAAAATTAAAAAATTAAATTATTTCGATTTTGAGTACATGAACTAAATTGTATAAAATTGAAAAGTATAAGGACTGGATAGGTCTGTTGACACTTTTTTATTTTATAACTTTTTGTAGGTAAGGACCAAAACAAGTCTATGTACTAAAAAATACATATTACAAAATGTTATGGTTGGTAGTAGAAAATGTAAAGCAATATTACGATAATTTATAAGTTTATACGTTGATTGTTAAGCAAGGTTGCATCTATCAATTTAAAGTACAACAAGAAATATATCCGTAAGCTGCACATGGAGACAATAATACATGTTGTAATAGTTATGTTTATTATATTTTTCATTTTATAACTTTTTATAAGTGAGGACTAAAACAAGTCCATGTCCTAAGAATTACATATTACAAAATGTTATATTCGGTAGTAGAAAATGTAAAACAATATTACGATAACTTATAATTTTATATATTGATTGTTAGCTTAGTTACTAAAAGCGATGTTAGTAAATAAAAGCCAATATAAGGCTTTGGCAAAGCTCCACAAAAGATGCACTGTTTTGTTCTTTTTTTAGATAATACGTCAATGTTCTGTCAGTATTCTAAGTATATATAAAAAATATAGTGATAGTGTGCAATAAAACATAAAATTTTATGACTAAACAATTATTTAAAATTAATAATAACTAATATTAGGCTTGGAACCATAAAACTTCAGATCAAGGATATTGGGTATTTTACTTGAAATCATAACATTACAAAATAGGATATCATGCATTATAATTGCAACTGTAAAACCTCAAATCAAGGATATCAAGTGTTATACTTAGAAATGTAACATTACAAAATAAAGATACAACTAAACAGTATCAAGGATATCATGTATTATGCTTAGAATCATAGTACTCCAAATTAAGGATATCAAGCATTAAGCTTGGTAGCATAATACTACATATTAAGGATATCAAGCATAATTATTTGAACTGTATCACTATAGATCAAGAATATCAAGTATTATACTTCGTACATAACACTATATATAAAAGACATTATATATTATGCTTGGAATTGTAATACTAAATATAAATGATATTTAGTGAATATCAAATAAATATCATAACATAGCACTTCATGAACCATGAAACAATAGATAAACCATTTTGCTTAAATTAAGACATGCCCACCATATAGTTGTCTTGCAATATGCTATTGTAAGTTATCGCACACGCATGTTATTATGTTTTTATATTACTCAAGATTCAAAATTAGTCAATAGTTAACACAAAAGCAACCTCTATAAACTGTTTCCCTATAGTTAGTAATTTTTTAATACTAAAATGAACAAAATCTAGAAAAATCTTTCTTACTTGTGATCCACATGATTTTAAGCTTTTTAAGAATTTTACTTAAGATGGGTTACAAAAATAACCTTCTTATATATTTTTATTGACATATTTGAGAAGCTTAAATTGTAAATACTTGCATGTAAATATTGATTCATACAATGTGACACAAATAATAATCTTGTACTTTGTCTATACCAATAGTTTATGATAAAAAAAAAACTGAAAATTTTATATGCATTGAACCCAAGAAAAGAAGAAGAAAATTGTAGAAAAAGAAAAAACAACATAAAAAATAAAAAAAACATTAAAACAAATTATAAATCTAAAAATGCTCTCAAGAGAAAAAAAACCCAAAGATTTAGAAGATAAAAAAACCCTCCAAATGAAATAAAAACAAAACAAAAAACCCAAAAAAAAAAATCTTCTCTCTCAACCAAGCCAACTGGTTTTCACATGATTAGGAATTGGACATGATGCGTGGCAATCAATTAAACGTCCCAAAAGACATATTTAGCATATAAGCATAGACAGATATGGCCCACAATGTGGCAAACATTGATTTAATGGGCCCACTTCCTTTCACTAGCTTACAAGCAAGGAAAACACTTTATTGTTCCAGCAAGAATAGTTTCTCTCAATCCAATTACAAGCTATTTTGTCATTCAAATAGGAAACCGAATGGTGTCCACTTGAAGCCCTCAAGAGACTTTTAATATATAAATATAAATAACTATTAAATTCTTAATAAGATATAATACAAAATTGACCGCTTAGATTATATTGTACTTGTTTTTGGCCTTTTCTGCTAAGAGTTTTTCTAAGGGAAGTGCCAAAATGTGACTGCAATAGTGCAACTAATAAAAAATTGGTGAAGACAAATGCTAATCAGCCGTCCAAGCAACGTTTGATAAATGGATTTACTTTTGGAAAAAGAAAAATATATATATTATAACAATTTTTGTTTCACTGCAGACAAGGACGTGAACCTGACATATGAGCATAATGAATTAATTAATTATGGTGGTATAATATATTTATTACGGTTTTAAATTATGATCTGTGTAATACTTGGTGACCCCTTTAATATTTTGAGTAAAATATTTTTATCTTCTTAAATTTTAATTAAAATTATATAAAAATTTATTAATTTTTAAAATAAATACTTCATATCAAAAGTGTAAACACAATTAGCGTAAATTAATAAAAAATTAATTTTTTATTAATTTTAAAAATTATTATTATCTTGAGAGCACTAGTCAGTCCTCTCCTTTCTTTG